CAGGGCCTTTGCCCCGCCCAGGGAACTCTGCAACGTGGGTTTCTAAACAGTCACTTCCCCCGCCACAGACCAGCACCGGACCCGGGACGCTGCAGGGTCCCGTGGCACGCGTTCCAGAGTCACCAGCGCCCCTGTACACCACTAGGCACCGACTCGAGGCTTGGCCTCCTCTGCGCAGGTCGGAACGCAGCCTCTCCTGCCTGGACGCACCCTACTCCCCCCCACCTCCCCATACGTGTCCTTGTGCCTTTGCACACACTAGGTCAACACCCGCGTCCTTGGCCATCCCCGACATACACGTCCACACGGTGCACCCCTCACAAGCGTCCACACGCAGGACCCCCCAGCGCCAACGCCACACACGTCGCCCACGTCCACACACGCCCACCCCTCCTCCGGCGGGCGCAGACGCTAAGCGACCCCGGGTCGCCGGCCTTGAGCTCCGCAGATGCTCAGGGCACAGCCCGGACGTGCGCCCACCTGGCGGCCTCCGGCCCGGCTGGAAGGCAGGGGCAGGGGGGTCCTCGCGCCTCGGTACTGAGTCGGGTTCCTAGTCCACCCTGCGGTCGGAGATGGGCATTGTCCGTACCGAGCCTGCGGGCTGCGCTCCAGCACTCCCCTGGGCCCCTGGGTGACTTTCAGACCTGGTCTCCCCTAACCGCCCTCCCCCTAACCAACCCTAGTTTCTCAGGGTGAGACTCCGCGAATACCTTTTCATTATTTTTTTAAGGAAAAGTACAAAGGCAAGGAATATTTTTTTCCCGTTTTATTTGCCGACGTACCCTCGGCGCCTAGAACGGTGCCTGGCACACCGCGGGCGATCACGAAAGTTTTGCGGCTGCACCACCCCTCGGCGTTCCCGTCAGCCCGCGGAACTGGAAAGTGAGTGAGCCCTGTCACCTGGCGGCATCTAGTGGAACTGACGCCGACATCCTTCTCTTTCTCTGCGGTGGAAACGTGGGCGAGTTCACCTTTCAGAGCCTCGATTTCCTCATACGTAAAAATGGAGATAGTTTTAGGAATACATGCGCGTTGGGGTTGTCGGGAAGATGAAACACATAGTACACGCGAAGCTCTTCACGTAGAGACTGGCAAGTGGAAAACGCTTGGTGTCAATACTCCCTTCCCTTTCCTAGGAATGCTGTGGGCAAATGCTATTTGTTCACCGCATGTTGCAGATGGAGACGCCGAGGGCCAGAGAGGTTAACTGCTGGGCCACAATTGTACAGTTGGCAGAGCTAGGATCCAACTCAGGTTTCTCTCAATCAGCAGCTAAACTGGTCACAGATGAGCTTCATGTCCCTGGAGCCCTCCCCTAGTCTCCAGCCCTGGACGGAACAGCTCCAGAAGGCCAGGGACCTATGTCAGGCTCTCGAATGCTCCATCCACTTCGGACTCATGAAAAACATGCTTTTCTGGCTCTATTCCTCATGGAAACTAACGAGGCGCTGCCTGTGGCTTCTCACTGACAAATGACATGGTGTGTACTTAGGTTTTGTCTGGCTGTGTGTTTCATGTCTGTCTCCCCAGCTAGACTATATCCTAGCACAGTCCCCACGAGAACTTTCTACAACAATGGAATGTTCCATATCTGAGCCACTAGCCGCATGTGGCTACTGAGTACTTCACATGTGACTAGTATGACTGCGGTACTGAACTTTCGGTTTTACTTACTTTTAGTTAATTTGAATTTAAGTAGCCTTTTGTGGCTAGTGGATACTGTGTAGAGAGCATATCTCTAAGCTCAGTGAGAGCAGGAACCGTATCTGGCGTCCATCCTTGTACGTCATGGACAGTGTGGGACGTGCTTCTTCAGGTATCTGTTGACTAAACGGATAATTAAACTCCAGCCTTGTCTTCCTCTTTCAAGTGTGTCGATTTCGTATGCATGAGGAGGATCCTATTTTCTCTGCTAAGTATTTCATCTCCCAAATGAATATGCCACTCGGGATTCTGGAGTCGCCCACGTCCATTTCTGTGGGTCCTCTTGCTTTAACCACACAACTACCCCCAGGGAGGTGTCCGTATCTTGCTGTGACAGTATGGAGGCTTGGAAAAGCCGAGTGACTTCTCCAAGGTCTCACGGCTGGAAGCGGCAGAAGCAAGCCTGGCCCCCATGCTCTTTCTCACTTCGCCCTGCTGCCTCGCGGGTGTCTGGGGACACCCGCTTATCCCCACGGAGGGGCGAATGCGAATGGTGGGGATTTGGGCACCTCACAGGATGGTAGTTTCGATACTGCTCCGACGGCCTCAGGCTGGGGACCGCCTGCGTATCAGACCCCGACACTTTCCTGGGGGGTATGCCTGATCCTGCTGCGGTTCACAGGTGGCCAGAAGGAGGGTCCCACTTTTGAAGCTCTAGGTCAGGGGCAGACCATCTCACTAGAGTGTGAGAGGTGGTTAGTTAGCGCAGGGCATTGTGGGAGGGCCCCCTAGTTAGTGGGATCCTGGCAGCCCTTGTTTGGCAAGGCTGAGAGGGGGCTCAGGGTCCTCGGAGAGACTTGACTTTCTCTCTAGAGTGGGAAGAGGGGACGCTTCAGGCCAGCAGCCTCTCTGGGTTCCTTCTTGGAGTGAGTGGCCAGGAGTCAGCAAATGTGGGACATGCTATTGCTACCCCTTTATCATCTTGTGCCCGTGACTCAAGATCACTAATTGATCACCACACTCTCTCCCGGTCTTCGGTCTGTAACTGATGCTGCTGCCCATCATGTCTTAGAAGATTCAGTCACTCTTGCAAAGGGCTCCACGGTTATTCCCAGGGTCCCGAACAGAGTGCCTTATAGGTGCCCGCAAGCCAGACTGCAGGTGTCACCTGCAATCACCATGTGGCAGCCGCCTGCTCTTCTCTTCCTGCCCTGGCCCACACAGGCCCTTGTCTCCTTGTCTGTGGTCCAGGAGAAGTAGCTTCATCCTGGCCCTTGTGTGAAGACACTCTCCCAATGCCCCCCAAACATTTAAATAACAGCACAAAAAAATGGTCTAAATCGTAAGGAATTTTGTTATTCCATGAAGGGGACCAAGGTTTCGCCACCCCAAAATATACCTTTTGGGATATTGATTTTAAGGTGGTTATTAAGGAACAAAATCTTTGACCCTCCCCCTTCACCTGCCTGAAGGAATTTAGACAGAGAGGGCCTGCTCCAGGAAGGGAGGCATCATCACAGATGACTATGGTTCAACATGAACTAGTGTGTGCTAGACAAAGAGGAACCTAGCAAGGCCCATTTGATCAAAGTCCTCTCTGCGTTTCATTGTTAAAGATGACCCAGCAAACGTGTATCCACCAAGCATCTGCTTTTCCGTCTCCACGTGAATTGCCTTCCTGCTCTTGGACGTCCCAAACCACAAACCCCCTTGTCCTTAGCTCCAGAATGTCCTATAAACCTCAACTGTGCCATGCCTCCTTGGGTCTCATATTATGGCACCCCCGCGTGTATATCCATAATAAATAAAGTTTGGACGTTTTCTCCTGTAAGTCTCTCTCATGTTAATTTGATTACTAGCCCAGACAGAAGCACTTAGAAGATGGGAGGAAAATTATTATTATTTTTTTACTCTGCCCCCAGCAACAGTAGTAAGTTGGGATGTGGGGGTCTGCAAGATCAAAACGCTTTTCACGATAGTACTAAGATCTCATCTGCCCTATTGGCTATTGTCCTCTCGTGAGTGTACAGTGGAATCTTCCAGTGGCTTCAAGACACGTGATATGGCAATGGGCTGAAAGCAGCCCAGATGTGGGATCCAGCTGCCACCTATTAGGCGAGACAGTACAGAGATGTAAAAAAAATATATAAACTCTCACTGTGCTTCTTACTAAGTGTTTTTCATTTGGAAAAGACAGTCACTTCTCATGAGAAGGTTAAGTTAACAGGTAATGAGTTTGTTATGGTTAGATGAATACATATTTAAAGAAAATTCCTTGGTTTTAATTTAAAATGTGGTAAATATTGGAGTATAACCCACCTAAACAAAAGCTCTTTGAGGTCATCTAACAATGTGAAGAGTGTAAAGGGGTTCCAAGACTGTAAAGTTTGAGAACCACGGATCCAGGCACACCTATCTGGAACCAATTCCCTAAAAAGAAGAGCAAACAGTTCTATAGTTTTTACGGTGTGCCAGGCACTATTCTAAACACTGTATATATATGTGTATATATATAACTTTTCTGGTCCCCGTGACAATCCTACAAGGTGTAGTACACCCCCACTTTATTTAATTTTTTTTCTAGCTTTATTGAGGAACGGCAAATAAAAATTGTATGTATTTAAGGTGTACAAAGTGGCGACAGGATATACGTATACATTGAGAAATTACCACGATCAAGCTCATTAACACATCCATCGCCTCACACAGTTACCATTATTGTTATTATTTTTCGTGTGGAAACACTTAAGGTCTATTCTCAGCAAATTTCAAGGACACACTACAGCATTGTTAACTCTGGTCCCCATGCTGTGCATTAGAGCCCCAGGGCTTATCCATCTTATAACTGAAAGCTCCTC